TGAAATTGATTTGACCTTTAGGTCAAAACGTGTGAAATTAGTCACTTGGCGTTTGTAGTGGGGGAGAGACTATTTTGTATGCACAAGTGATTAACACGTGTGTTAAATTAAAAGAAAACGATATGGGGAAAACCCACTTGATTCCTGTTCGTTATCGGACTAAAATCTAGGACACGGCTAAGCTAGCATTCACGGTTGTTTGAGGATCTGATAGAAGCAATCGACATCAGTTGTTGAGTGCTTTTCAAGTTGGGCAGGTGAGTAGTGATCAGCGGTGTTCATGCATATCATTGTAGTATAAACTCATTAAGTAAAAATGGTAAGGAGATAGTACAAGTTCCTCTTTATTATTCTCCATCACTGATTTTTTTTTCATGGCATCCAGCATAAATTACGAGCACATTCCTCGATGCTTTTCAATCCTCCGCTTGTTATTTGTATTGACATGAATATCAAACACCCATCAAGCTTTTCCCAATTTTCGTTCCTTTTTCACATTGTCCTATTAGTGGTTAACTCACCAGCGCTAGGGGAAGCGACGAATAACAACGGACGCCAAGATTCCAAAAAACCAATAATAAAATAATACGTCTTTTTACTTCTTTCTTAATTTATTGAATATACAACTGCGTAGTTAACTTTCAGGAAGGGGGCTGCGGCCATACAAAGGCTGTCTGGGGAACTACAGAAATAGGGAAGACGTGCGGCGATGGAGCGGTTCGAACGAAGATCCGCGCATGCATTTGGTAGATACAGTCAAATGCCGTGTCGTTCAGCATCCTTGCTACTGAGGTTTGTATACTTCTTGAATAATTACCAATTATCTATTGACCATCGCTTACACGGCGCTCATGGTGTTCGGTTTGTGAATCATCTGGCTTTCAACACTCATTGAAGTCAACTATTTAGCTTGCCGTTGATCTAGGAAGTCTTAATACTGACTCAGTTGTTTCCTGATGATAGTATCTGTGACATATATATGTTCTTGCCAAAGCGTAAAATCATCACCGAGCATTGTCGCTCATCGTTCACGACCACTCATTTAGTGAGCCACGGTTCACCTTATTGACGATTAGCTACGAATAGGCGACCGTTCTATCCGTGATCTGGCTACGTGCTCGACAGCATACAGTTCTTCCCTGTCCCTTATGATATTGTAAGCCTACACTTAATCGATACAAAATTTCTTCATCCCTAGAATCCTGCTATCAAATGGCTGGTTTTAAATGAAGGGGTTTCTAACCGGTTCTTACTTCCTTTTTTGATTTTTCAGGTTTATCCGTCGTACGTGATGCATTGATGCACAAACAACCCTGGTCGCAATTGTTCGAGGCAGCTTTCTTTTTCCACTACCGTCACTACGTTGTGGTTATCGTGACAGGGAGTGTGAAACACTCGTTTGTTGAACTGTGCGGTCTAGTGGAGTCCAGACTGCGTGTACTGGTCAGCAATTTCGAGATGAATCGGTACGTGAAAATCGCTCATGTGAATTGTCGTGCCTACGGTAAAGGGTCGAGCGATGGCGATGCGGAACTCGTTCGCAAGTGGTTTATTGGTATGGAATTCGATCGGAATCCGAACTCGCTGACGAATTTGACTTCAGTGAATCACAACCAGAACGCAGGGACAGAAAAACCAACTTTGAATGTGGATCTGAGTGAGAATATCAGCTCGTTTGAGAAATCCATCGAACGTGGTCTGACCAACGACGATCCGACCAATTCGGTGACCGTGAAATATGTGAAAAAGTGAGTTTATCCATATCGCCTTCGAGAGCTTATTTTCTGATACGGCTTATCTGTCCTTCTAATCAATTTTTACGATAAAATAGTGTTTGTTCAAATTGCTTTTTGTGGGTGGCAGATTGAAGTCCTATGTTGAAATTGTTAAAAAATAAATAGCCTCGGTGGGATTTGAACCCACTCATGGACGCTGCCTACGCTTTTGTTCAACGTACGCTCTACCAGCTCAGGGCTACGAAGCCACATTGATCATTTCACACTCGAATCACGCACTCAAGAGAACTCACATGTCCCCAATCGCGTCAGTAGTCAAACATGTTCTCTGCAAGATGTTAACTCTGCTCCTCATTGAGCAAACTGTTCTCGTGAATTCAAAACCGCGCAATTACGAGTGTCGTTATGGTCCCAAAATTCGCAAGTCGTTCGGACAGATTTGGAAAATGCTCCGCTGAGCGCATGAAATGAGGTGCCCTCGCACGGTTGGTTGAAAGAACGTCACAAAGAATTGGTAATGTTAGGTGCCATTAAGCAATGTGCAACTTCTATTGTTCACAATGGATGTAAATTTTCTACAGTTTTATTTTTTAGTTTTATATCAGCCAGGTTTTCTGGACCACTTTGCTGCGTCATCGTGCACTTGTGGTTGATTGTGGTCATTTCTATTCATCCTAAATGCGTGTACGTATACATGTGATTTCTTTTCGTTTCTACCGTTATTTAGGTCACAACTTTCCCAGTTCGTATCGCCTGAAGATATGGATGAAATTAAGCGTCAGGCCGCTGCTGCGGCCATTTCCGCCGCATCATCAGCGTCGACAGCCACCACGCATGAGTCAAATAAGACAGGCGCATGCCGCACTCCGCTCAACGCTACCTCCGTAGATCAGAATCCACATACTGCGAATTCTCCGCGGTCCGTAGACCATACTCCAAACTCCATAGACGGATCAGCGTCTCCGGCCACTCTGTCGCGGAGTGGAAGTTGTGCGTCCATGGTTGAGGTTAATTTAGTTGTTCCTTCACCATCCACTCCAAATGCTGTAGCGTCTAACGCCTCTCCGGATTTGCACAAAGAAAGTCAGGACTTGTCTCTTAGTACCTCAATTCCAGTCTCAAACGGCACAAAAGTCCCGATTGAAGTAAGCCTGATCATTCGTATTTCCTTGAGCAAATCACTCGGAAATCATGTTTCCAAAATTGGTTTCGATCTACAGTTAGCCACCAAAATCGACCCTCAAGCAGATTTGGTTCCGTATTAAATCAATGCGACTCACTCAATTTTTTGATTGAAACCCAATTACTCGTGGACAGTCTCTATGATCTTATGTTTTGGTTATTTTACTTCCGGTCACTCTCCTGTTAAATTAGTAGTTTCGCAAATTTCCCCTTTCTTTTCTATTTGCATACTGACAATGACTATTAATTCAGTTGATCTGCAGGTATCAAGTTCTGGTGTGACGGGACTACCACAGACACCAATTTAAAACGATGACACAACTGCTAAAACTATTTTAACGCGCGCCTATGTGTACTGGTTTTCTTACTCGGCTAATGTGCAAAGTCTCATTGTGCATTTTTGTTGATCAGTACTACTTTGCGCCCCTTTGCATTCTGCCATACAATGTGAACAGAAAGCCAGAGAGACCCAGTTCCATCGGAAAATGTGGATAGATCAATGTTTGTTCTACTGTTGTGCACGTTCACTTTACTGTGTGGTAGTAGCCAAGTCCCACTTTACTACTGCGGCCCTGTTTGATGTCTTTCGGCAACCTGTGTGAGAAGCTATTTGGATAAAAGCCCAAAAGCGATCCTGTCAATGTATACGCCAATGAAAATTTGACCGTCAGATGCGTTTAGAGAGTGGGAGCAGATTCATGGACAATACTGTCTGGCACTCTGCTTCGTTAGCGAATATTTTCACTCAAAGGCTCCGAGGGTTATATTGATATCGGTTTAGAGGTCTGATATAATATCTATCGCCAGGATCTGTTCACATTTCTCTCGTGGCCTTTTTGTTGTAAATATCGTATTCTGTTAAAGTCCTTCCAAAGGCTTTTGTAACACGTTTACCATCAAAACCTGTTCTACACTAGCATCCGTGCCCGACGTCATCATCACCGCTGCTCTGATTGCGGAATCAAATTCTCAAAGTTATGTGAAAATCTGTCCTTCAAGCGTCTGGCGGTTTTCTCTTTGCACCATACAGTTATAGATTGATCAGGTCGTCAGTGCTCGTTCTCCTTTCGTGATATTTTGGCTGGCAACTCCATGGCACCACAACTGATTGTTTGGCCAAATTTTGCTTTCGACAGTAAATCGACAGACGGAATTCAAGTTCGTTCACTTGCTCTATAGCTTTTTTGCGATTATCAGGTTAGATATTAAAAACTGTAATAAGCCCATCGTATTCAGAATACAGGCAGTAGGCGGTCATGTACCTTTGATGGTTTCTTTCCCAAGTCATTACAATCACGTTGGTGTAAAAAATGACAAGAATAATTTAAACAATCAGAGGGATAGAGGTAGATGATGAGTGTGGAGTTCGTCTCTTGTTCGGACCCAAACGGGTTACGTAACCGTCAGTACCTAATTCACTTCATCACAACGTTCATGCGTAACGTAATCCGCTTTCAACCAGGAGAGTTTGAGTGTCTGTATCAGTTTTTTGTGTATACAGTTATAGCTCTAATAAAAAAATGATAGTCGCCCTATCCGTCGGAAGCCTTCAACTTCGAATGGTCTTGGACTCGTTTTGTGGGACTGAGCAAATGATGATGGTGACAGTAATGGTGATTTAATTCAATGGCCACCAGCTATCCATCCTCTGCTAAATGTGCAAAAACTGTACTCGATCTTACAATTTTTCTATCCAGATGAATTAGGTTACCATAATTTCAGTAGACATTTTTCATGGTTCTCAATACGTACAATCCCTCGCATTGTGTGACATGTGGTCATCGAGTGCGAGGTGGAGGCATTCAACAGTTGCAGCACTGAGCGATAATATGCGCTAAACTCCGTGTCTTATTTGAGTTCCCCTTAATGCGTCGCTGGAAAATAATATGCTTGGCACATTTAATGAATCATAGATGAGGTTAAAATCCTATCCAATTCCCATTATTCAAAAGCCACGTGTAAAAATTCCTGAAAGCTTTTTGTTTCATTGCGACAATTNACAATTTTCAACGTTCAGTTTGTATTTTCGACTGTTTATCGAAACGTTTAAAATGATCAAGTACACAATGGCCCTCGTTCCGAAACCGTTTCGTCTGGAAAGAAATATTCTAAATCCATTTGCTGTTGAAGATTCGACATTTGTTTCTGCTTTCGAATATTACAGTTTTGTGTGAAACAGATAGGAATTTGAGGGTTTGAGTGAATACTTCTTCAAGATTTGGATAGACAACTTATTTTTCATGATTGAAGCCCAACCAAACGTTTCTACCGGTTTTATTTTACTGAAGAATCCTTTGATTTGTCGTACTAGTTGTGCTTTAGAAAATTGCATGGTTTGCAACGAAGAACTTTGAATGTGCTGAAGAGTAGTTTGAAAATCACTGTGGGAAACCTCTGCCTTGCGGATCTGTTTAGTGTAGGCTCTGGGTCCGTTGATGTAGCATGTGCCGACACCATGATGGTAGCTTTCGTCTACTGTAATGCTTTGGTCCCAGAATACATGGACTAGACCGTGACACCAAAAACGTGACATGTTTTGTATTTAATACGTCCCGAATTCATAGACGATCTTTACTCATCAGCTTGAGTTCGTGACCCGTGGCTCCATGTAGTTCATCATTGATGAAACGTACATTCATCTCCTCAGCTATCTTCCGAGCATTAGAACAACTGAATTATTACTGTCTTCATAGACAGTGGTGTCAGCTTGTACCTCCGAGCTAACCAGTAAGGTCTTGATACTTGAGTAGGAAATAATCACAATAAGATTAACTTGGCACCACGCACCAGCTGAACAGTATCCGAAAGTAATTTGGGCCACACTGTCTCTCAATGCCTCTTCCATTTTCACCTTGATCTTTTGTTCTTGTTTCAAATGACGAAAAACTAAATGGAGTCCTATTTAGACTATGGGTGTTTGGATCATTGAAGTTCTATTTTGAGGTGATCCGAACGAACGAAATTTTGACATCATTGCTGTGTAGCAGTGATGTCGGCGATAAACGACTCACTGAATGTCGCCCGGGGCAGCCATTTAATGCGGTAAGAGTGTTGGTTATCACAATACCATGTCTACAAACCCTGACTGGTGATTCATTTAATTTGAGTTACACCGGTTTAGTGGATGTTCTGTTTCCTCCTACCTCTCACTATTTTATTTACTGGTCTCGACGTTGTTGGCACCCAACGTAAAGTGTGGTCTATTTTCTCCTCTTTCTGTCATTAGCCATCTTCAAACAACGTATCATCCGATGCAAATACAGTTTCTGCGAGCAATCCTTCCGTCGATTCACAGTCATCAAAATCCGGTTCACCGCCACTTTCTCTCCCGACCCCCAATCCCAATGGATCTGTCAGCCCTGGAAAGCGTGGAATAACACCGGACAGGGTGACCGAGTCGAGCGTGGAAAATCCTAAACGCACACGACTGTGCGAGCAGACCTGACTGCATCCACATCATCAGGATTAATCTCCTCGAGAACTGTTTTTGTAATCATTGTTTATCGCCAGTTCCGTGTCCGTGGCTTTCCCACATCCTATTTGTACAAAACATCTGATGTATTGCCGCCCGAATTTGGTTTTTACTTACCACACTTCTCACTTTCTTCCGGATTTTCACCCTCTGTCATTCGGACTGTGGAGGTCCAGAAGTTCACTTTATACAAACAGACGATTTGCTTGCCTGGTCTCCTCATCTCTTTTCGTTTTTTGGTTCACCACCATCATTCTCAGAACCCCTCTGGCGATTGCATTTAACATCATCTTTTTCCACACCTCCATTCCGCACACACTCATCCCACTTTCACCCGATCAAATTATCTTTCATCCGGGTCCCGCATTGGGGTATTCGTCTGCATAGATCATCTACACCCGGTAAGTATATAATATCTGTGCGCTCGCAAGCTTGAACATGACATTCGTTTGAACCCATATAGCTACAGCGATGCCTCGCTACGTTGGCGTCTACACATTGAATAACGAGGCTGCTGTGGTCCCACTGTGTGACAGGGGCACCTTGGATAAGTGCAATAAAAATGACAGTCAGAATCAGGTTCGATACATTCGAGAACGTCACAACTGTCAGCAGCTGCTGGTTTTTGGAAGTCGATTCACACCGAAAAAAAAGATTTGAATGTCATCTAGTTATGCACTGCACCCATTTGCACGGTTATGCCTGCTTTTGATGCCGGAATAAGTTCAGTGTTTTGTTTCATCTCGGCTTTATTCCTCTCAGCTATTCTGTTATCACTTATTTGCCTACAAACCATTGTTAAGCCTTTGTTCATTTCCACCGTTTTGGGCTCACATATGTTCTACGAATAAGTGTGTCGCCGTGACACCTCGCTTTCTATTCAGTGTGTTGATCAGAATCATCAACAAGATATTACCATGACGGTTTTCATCGTCCTCAAGAGCTCCGTATGTGTCAGCGAGAAAGCAAGGAACACAGTTAGTTGCAAAAAATTTCATTTCGCGCTCGGTACCGGCACTAGTTTCGCGACGGTTCTCGCCCCATCTTTGCTACACCTCCCGATTCGTGTCTGTTTGTGTGTGTGTGCTTCTGTGTGTAACACAATCTGCCGTCTCTGAGCTGTGCGTATAATGCATCCTATCCCACCGACTGTGCATCTAACACCAATGCACTCTATTAATCGTGCTTATTATCATCATCATAAGAATTTTACTCTAAGGGTCCTAAACTCTCACTTGAGTTTGATAATCACACACCATGTTCGGACGACCACAAACATTTCAATGCATATTCATCTCGCCGCTGGGATTTGTCTCATTTTCATCCAACTCATTCACGCTGCCAGTTTCATCTCTTGTTTCAACACTCCACGGTTACATGTGAGGTTATTCAGTCAGAATATATAGAATGTGGTGTTTTTCGTAGACGGACTATTCTGTCTGCGTGTAATCCGTACGTGCTATCACGTGAGTAGTTTGTTTCCGATAACCGTTGCTCGTTTTCGGGGCCCTGTCTGTCTGTCTCTATCCCATTTCAGATTCCCTGTTGGCAACTTATTCATCTGCGTCTCGACTTGATAACCCATTCTTTCGCCAGGCGGGGTAAATCAAA